ATTTAAAGACTTCATTATGCTACATTAGAAGGAACTCTTTCTCAGAGGTTTTCATTTAGCTTCATTGTGAGAAGAACAAAACATGCAAGCATCAGAATATGGTGGTAAAAACAGTAAAACTGATGATTTTAGTTACCAACTGTCTTACTTCATTTGCCATCCACTCTTAAGATGCTATTTGTGAAGGATGATTTCCAGAATCATGTAAAACAAAATATGAAACTACTTTTACCCTAGAGTGCATCTCCAGACTCCAAAGTAAATAAACAATCAAATTCAGCATACCTACTCAAAATGGATTAAAATCTCTCCAAAATCAGAGGTTCCAACATCTCTCAGGTTGAGAAATTGGTTTAGACTTCATCTCCTTAGAGTAATATTAAATAAGACTATTATAGAAGTAAAACTAGAAAGAAGTTTTAACTATGAATGCTCAGAAAACACACTTTTAAATCACCCACACCTTTCATACAGATTTAACTCTACACTAAAATCACCAAGTATTACCACACCCAGTTACAAGGTTTCATAGACCAAATAAACAAACTGTTTCATGATGTAATTTGACCAAACTTCTAAAAGTTGACAAATTTCTTAAGCTACACAGCTTAAATATTTTTAGTAACACACCTTCATTGATTTTTTGAATAATCCTTTGGACTGAAGTTGGCCAGACACAAGATAACAGACTTCTTGCACAGATTTCTGCTTTTCATTTTCAGAAAGCGAACCAGTAATTGGAAATGGCAGGTCTTTGAAAATAAAATAAGTATTAAAAAAAAAAAAACCTCTAAGAAACAGAGCTATTGAGCTTGCTGCAGTGTTACACTTGAGCATCATTACTGACCACAGACAAGCTGCAAGTGCAAAGCCATGTTCTCTCTACTGAGATTACATGACTGCTTGCCCCTTAGAACACGGGGCCACAAGATCCTACAAAATGTGTTATTCCGTATAACCTGACCACATTCCAGGTAGACAGTTAACTAATACAAAATAAATGCCCTCTTCAGTTGCATAAGCTATTCCTTATTGGTCTCATTTTCCAGTATTACCAAGCACTTTTTAAGTTAACCCACTTTTCATCGTAGAGAACCATTTCATTTAATGGATACGAATATCCATAGGCATATTTTACCCATGCTACATTAAAGTTCCTCAGCAGAATATGCGAGATGTTTTACTACACAACTATATATTTTCCTATTACAGGAAAACAAATTAAAGTGATTCAAATCCTTGTCACTCAAGTTGCATATGGACTTCTTTGTAAAGACTACTCTTCAAAACAGGTCTTTGTCTGCTTTTATGTCCACTCATCTCAGAGAACAACCTCCCATCTTTGAGACTTTTTCCCCCTCCAGAAAAAAAAAATACTCAGGGTCTTTGAGCAGTCTGAACTATCCTTACCACTGCCAATACAGTTTCTGACTTTATGCCAGCACCGAGGCACATCAGGATCCAGTCAAGACTCTAGCCTCCTATGCAGTGAGGACGGAGCAGAGAAGTACACGCTGTGAAGAGAAATTAAGGGATTAAAAATAACCTGTTTTCTAGCCTTTGAGCAACAACAAAATGAAATCTTTTTTTGCAAAAAGCACAAAGTACAGTTACGTTACAAACAACAACACTGGGAAATTCTGAATGGCAATAACCTACCTTTCACAGGTTTTTAGCATTGAAGGTAGCACATGCACTACTGCAGAGTATCTGGCACATGCTGCAGCTCCTGCATAATAACCACTTCATGCCTCGTTAGTTCACAGAATGTTTTGATATTTGTAGCACTAAAGAGACAATTTAAAAAACATTTTAAGGTAATTTAAAGTATATTAAAATAATTACAGAAATGTATAGTTAAGTTAGCTCTTCTTTCATTTTTTGGTCTGGCCATACAACACTTCATTCAATATAACATCAAATATACAAAGCATCTTAAACATACAAGCATTTTTCAGGTGTACTTTCATAACATTACTTAGGATAGCCTTCAGTTTTAAAATTGCAAAATCCACTGGAAATAAAAACAAAATATTAAAACCAGAATGTAAACACAGTAGCATGCTATATAGATAAATTTACAGTACTATCAAGATTATAAACCGAGCATTAGAAATTAAAAAATTCCAGCATTAAATCTTCCATTTAATCCTCAATTCACCCCATCTTGTATTTGCATTATTGACAGACTGATTACATGATGGCACAGTATTTTTTCCCAGCAACTCTCTGTTGCTGTTTATATCCACAACAAATAGGATGACAACTCTCCGACTGTGTTTCACGAGGCTGCTCTACAGAACCTGGTTTCCCTGGATGCTGGATTTACAGTGAATACAACAGAAGGGAAAGAACAGATTTAGGCTTCTGAACATCACCGTAGAGAATTAAAACTCCCCCATGACTCTGCCCTATAGCTTCTCCTTGATTCTAGACAATCAGCTACTCCACATTTACTAAGCTGGTAACTATTCCTCGATCTATCTCTACACAGGGTTTGAAACAGCAGGGGTCTTACAGAAGGAACTCAACTTCAATCAATGTCAAAGAAATGAAATTCCACTACCTATCCCTTCAGGTCATAGGTGTCAAACAAACTGGGCATCAAAAAGTAAATTTTAAGCATCAGTGTCTACAAAAAATATATATAAAATTATTGGTATGGGGATATGAAAAAAAAAAATTGTTCTTTTGTTATGTCTCCCTGTGTTAGGAAAGAATGCTAAAAACAAATGGGTTTTAGCTGCCAGTGAAAAAGGGGACAAGAAACGTGTTTTGGACAACATAGATAAATTGTATTAGTATTTCATAGCTATTAACTCAGTAAACAGGTTATACCCTGGGTTCCAAATACTACACAAAATACTAGGCTTTATTTTCTTATTTTCTTAAGTGCTTGTACAAACAAACAAGCACAAAAATCACTTCGGAAGAACATTAAAAGTGAAGACTACAGTTACGTAAGCCAGAAAGCAAACTTCACTATGCGGAAATGTGCAACATATGCCCCAAGATACGGCACACAGACACTATTTGAACTAATGTAGCCAATACTTGTAATGGTCCCATCTGTTATGCAGGAGGGGTCACCTTCAGAGATGTAGCCACCCAACTTTTAAGTATCTGAGTGTAAATGTGTTTCCAAAGGGTTTTAAGTAAATGTAATCATGTTTTCAAGAACAGTCAGTGACTCAAACGAGTCTAGGTTGGTTGGGTGTCCCGAAGCCCAACCTCCAACATGGATGTTGCTAATGGGGTGGGGGTACAGGGGGGGTGTACTCATTTGTTTTTAAAAAGGGGTGAAAAGGCCAGTGGAACAAGCAAGTTTTCTTCCTTAATTTTGTTTCTGGAAATATATGCAGAAGATAGGGTGAGAAAGATAGTGCGTGGAGCGTGAGACAGACTAAGCCTGGAAAATTCCAGACCAAATGGTTAAAGTCAGTAGTCAGAAAGGGCTGAAAACAGGATCTTCCATTTTAAAGTGACCACACTCCTTTCAACACATAATACATTAAAAAAAAAAAAAAAAAAAAAAAGAGAGAGAGAACACTAGCAGCTTAAGCATTTGCACATGTTATCTTCTCAGGCATAAGGAACATCTCCAGAGTCGCACCTGTGACTTCACATACACAATACTGATTTCTAGTCAGTGGGAAAGAAAATCAGAGGCATCATTCAGACACATTGTTGTCAAACATACCTACAGCAGACAAAGAAAAACAAAAAAACAGCCAGACCAAAACCAAAACAACACTAATGGAATACATTGTATTATTACAAAATCTTTGAGGTTTCCATGATGCATGGGGCTGCCTTTTTTCTAGTACACAAACCTGAAATTGTAATCTCCCACCACATTTTCCCATTTTATTCCACCAATTTCTTATTCTAAAAATTTCGCCCACTACCCACAAAGTCTGCAGATGATCTGGCTAATTTGAGAACCACTGCAAATTTTAGCCAGCTCTTCTAGCTTATCTGCAGGCATGTTAGCCATGTAATTTTAGTGTCTTGGAGCATACTGAAACACATTCACAATTCACAGTCCCATGATGTGCTTGGCCCAGGCAAAAACACGTAATGTGAGCTACTATAGTACAAAATGAATCACTTTATCTACAAGTTTCTATCATATCATCACACGTATCAATTCTTATATCCCCTGCGTTAGTGATAGGAAACAGGTTATCGTTCTCCTCCCATAATCTCTTGAACAAGAAAATTTAACCAGGCACTAAAGTGAAAAGTTACATTCAAAGGCCATTTTGCTTTCTTTTTGTCCTCCCTGTCCATGCTGTGACGTTACTACTAAATACAGAGCTCATTTTACTATCTAGCATGTAACACCATACTTGATTTCTACCACATCATTTTACCACACCCTTTAGCTAACCTGAAGAAAAATAAATTTGAACTCCATACCAAATTAGGAAAAAGTCTACTTGCATTTCTTTTTTTTGAACAACTGCTAACATAAGGAGAGAACATACAAAATTCCAGTAGTTTTCCCTTTCAGATCTTTCAAAATTATTCCTAGCACCTATCTGAATATCTTCAACATTTAGTATTACTTTTTATTTACTTGGGAGGATTTTCATCCTTAGTTGTCATACAGCAGTACTTCTCAGCATACCGGTGATTTTTCTCTTGGCCATGTCGCTGCCTTGACTCAAACTGCAATCTTCTTTTCTTCGACACTCCGCAACCACTCTGAGACTTTCAGCGCTGCTACTCTTACAATCACACGCAACGTTGAAGAAAAACACAGCTTAAGGAAACGGCTGCAAACCATCTTCATACTAATTAATATGCTTTCTGGTATTCTGCAGTACTACTATTTTTACTAGGCTTTCCTTAGAAGGTAAAAGTTAGCACAGAAAAGAGGAAAAACAGATAGAAGACTTTCTAAAATCTTTACTTTGAACAAAATCGTATTATATATGCGTCATTCCGAATTTTCAGGCAATTACAAAATGTCTTTGAAGTTAACAATACATGGTTGTTTTTTTTTTATTTTTAACCAAAATCTTATATAAAAAAGACAGATTTAAAAAGCTGAGGTCGTGTGAACAGTTTAACTTAAGGGAATTTGTTATTTTTTTTTCCCCTTGGAGACTCAAGGTATGAAATAGGGCCCTGATTTCTAGAACAGTGCATTCAGATTACATGACCCAAAAAGAAATTGAAGGAAAAAGACGAGCTGAAAACATGCTAGTAAATCACATTACTCCTTCTCAAAATTTCACCTCTTAACATTTCCCTACTAGGCTCTTACAAGTGTGACTGGATAATAGAAGTGATATCTTTATGATTTTGTGAATAATGGGTTTTATTAGTATTAAGTTAAAGCAAACAGCCAGAACAATACATATGCAACTTCTACTACACACAATATAAAGAAAGTAAATTATAACCTCTGTAAAACAAGAGAAAAGGTACTGAAAAAGTCCAGCAGTGGTTATGGGCTATTTCATCCCCAAAACCAGGCTGGGATCTGCGTATAGAGAACAACTGTTGTTCACCTTTTTCAACTGAAATAGGGTGAGATACATAATCAAGTATAAAGAAAAGGTTTATGGAGTTACATGGATTTTCTGAACAAATTCTAGATTAGTAAGAAAAAAAAAGTTCACCTAGTAAAAGAGGTTACAAGTGGGCTCAGGTTTCAAATTTTAGTGGTGAGGGACAATGGGAGAAATTACCAAGGACTTTTGTAACAATTCCTTTAATAATACACCACTTTCATAACAGAAGTGTTTTACACTTGCACAATGTTAATAACTTTATTATACATGGAAGCCTGTAATAGGCTGATTACACAATAAGACTGCAAACAACCACTGGTACTTTCCTGACACCAGAAAAGTACGTTAAGACTGAAACATCACCAAGAGTACATAAAAAACCATCAGCATAAACGTCACCAAAATTACATTAAAAAACTAATTAAAAAATACATTTGCAAAAAAGTGGTTTAGAGCAGTGCCACTGCCTTTCAGCAGCTTTGAATGGCCACCAGTATTTCTAGCAGGTTTCCGTGGCTCCACAGGCATTAATCAGGATTCACATATAATAAATAATGTACCACAAAATATACATAAAGTAAGGCAATAATTCCAAAGAAAAGTTCTGTTGATATTGAGAAGCCGCTCAAGTTCTACTCTCGTAGTTGACGCCATCACCAGAAACCTTTGATGGAATTGCAGCCTTAGGCCCTAAGCCTGCAATGATAAACTGCTGCAAACCCCTGGATCCGTAAAGAGCTCCAGCGACACCACCGGTAACACTGCAGGGCACAGGGGTCCATGTGAGCTGATCCTGATGCAGGATCGGGGCCTTCATATGTACAGTTGGGAGTAGATTATTTCTTATTGTACATGGAAACCTCGACAGAATTCTAAAAACATGTGGGTGTTTACTGTTGGTTATCTGATGTCATGAGACATCAGAAAGTACACAGTGAGATATGCACTTTCCGGAATGTACATTTTTTTGAAATGCTAGCTATTAAGTTGGGGGTGAGAGAGGGAGTAGGCAAGAAGGGGACGGAAAAGGTGTAAATTAAGGAAAAAAAAAAAAAAAACACAAATCAAGTCCAGAGGAACTGGGAGCACAACAAAAGAACGGGAACCTTATACATTAAAAGAATGTGGAAAGGGGGAAGAGCAAGAGACCGACTTCTTTTGAACCATGTAAAATAAATAATGTATCCCAAGAGCGTATCTAGAATACGACTGTAGCTTCAAGTCGGGGTTCTAGTGACATGAACCAGATGCACGCACTTTGTTCTCATGGTTTGTGTCAACAGAATCTCTTTACGGAATTACAGTCTTACACAGGAGTTCTGGGGACATTATTATTCATATTAAAGCTACCGTTCCGGGCTCTCAGTACAGATCCAAGAATATTTGCTCCGCCTGTCTGGAATGAGCATCACCTGGAAGAACAGGAGTACTTTAAAAGCAACAAGATTTAGGTAGCAAAATTCTTTCAGATCTGCCCAGGCATAAGAGACAGCAATTTGAAATGTCGTAGATCCCTTCCTCAAAAAAGCTTGAGATATATTTGTCGCTATCTGTAAATCGGAAGTTCCAATACACTAGTGGTGCATAGAATTCCCATGCTTCGTTACACTTTCCTGAGAGTAAAGCAATTAGAATAAACCTTAGTCCTATGAACAAAGTTAATTATTTTTTTTGCATTTTAAACTTTTGGGCTATTCCCTGACAACCTATGTTTGAAAATTTGATTGCTAAACGTTGTCACTTGAACAAAAACACTATTTCATATCTATTGATTTTTGATTAAAAACCATAATAAACAGATCTAAAAAAATCACACTAACAAAATAAACTAAATATGAAAAGTTGCATTGAAAGGGCATGTTACATTATTCGTAATAGGACCGTGTAGAAACATTCCAATGGCAGTGTTGTCAAAGTAAAACTACATTAAGAAGACCCCACAGCCCCGGTCACAGTCGGGACCTTACCTGTAACTCTGGCTGGTTGGGGTTTTTACTCGTGTACTACATGGCTCACTTACATCAGACATCATATTTGAATACCCTGAGAAATCTGACACTGAAGTCCTTACTCTATGGTCCACTTCCCCATTAGAGTTAGTGATAAAAGTCATTGGCACCCTGCTGCCCGACTTGAACTGAGAACCAAACGCTTGTGCAAAGTTCTCGATCTGGTAGGTTGCTCTAGGCTCAATGTCCTTCTGAGGATCTATCTGACTAGCTAACTCCTGAGATGGGATCTGAAAGCTCGTTGAGGATTCTAAGTTTTTCTGTTCCTTCTGGCCAGTCAGTTTCTGAGATGTTGACTGGTAGTTAGACGAAGTCTCTAAGTTTTTTTGAGGGTCGATGAGATCATCCAGCTCTTGAGAAGGAGTCAACTGTTGATGCGTAGCCTCCAGAGCAGATAAATAAAAGCCTGGCTGAGATCCAAGCAACATCCCAAACGGAGGTTTTGGCAACGCAGTTGGCAATACTGAGGTAACGGACTGGCTGAAGCCACACTCGAGCGGAGATGTAGTGTAAATCTGTTTGTCTTGAAACAGAGTGTGGTTATGCAGAGTTGAAGACAAGCTAACAAACTGGAAACTGGGTCCAAAAGCAAAACCAGTGCTGTTGGTTGTTCTTTCAAAAGCTTGTTGGAGGTATTTGGAGTATTCTTGCAACATGCTCGCCTTATCGTTTGAAACTGTTTGAGAGTTAGGGCTCAGGTTTTCTTCCTGGACCATCTCCGAATGCTCTCCGGAGCTGTGCAAGTCCACCCGCTGCTCAGTTATACTGAAAGGATCTTCCTTCTGGCCTTCTGATTTGTGGGAGTACTGGTCCAAAAGGCTCTGTAAAACTTCATCGGGGATACCAGACTTGTCATGGCAAGACTTGATTTCGCTGTTTAAGGATGCTGAATCAATGAGAGATAACGGAGCTTCATTATCCATAACGCTAACACCTGCAGACTGGATGACGGACTGCTGGGAAGTCATGTGTCCGACATTGATCGAGAAGGCACTGTTACCGCTTGCAGTTTGCAAGTATCTTCTTTTCTTTGAAAACTGCATGGCGTCGTCGTAATTGCTACTTATTTGACCTGGTTTACCACCTGTACTTTGGAGAAGGCCAATAGTTTCTACACCGGTATTGGTTACTAGGGAGCCTAGGGAGCCACTCTGCTTCCCAGCCAGTGGTTTCTGCCCCAGAATATCTGGCAGCGGCGATACAAAATTAAGGTAATTTTTGTCTGCCTGTTTCCTGCTTCCTTTTTTGAAGACCAGTTTTGGCACCTTTTTCTGAAGCTCTTCGACGCCCGTGCCGGCTAGACCACCGCTGGAAGACACGATAGGAATATCAACTGCATAATTTGGCATGGCCACATTACTTGTAACTTGAGACTCCGTTACTTTGCTGCTACACTTGTTTCCTTTGTTTTCAGTGGATATACTTTTTGTTTTACTTTTTCTCCTTGAGGAACTTGTATTTCCCTGAGACAACGCAGCCAAGCTACCCATGCTATTCGACGATCCGGGCTCCATTCCAGCACCTGCTTTCCCTATGGCTTCACCACACGTTCTTCTGTGCTTCAAGAGTCTATCAGTCCTTGAGAAATACTGCTGGCAAGTGTCACATTTGTATGGCTTTTCTCCACTATGCGTCCTCTTGTGTCTTTCCATGTGGTACTTCTGGATGAACTTCATGCTACACTGGTCGCACCCGAAGGGCTTCTCCCGACTGTGGATCTTCTCGTGTCTCTGCAGCAGGTACTTCTGGATGAAGCCCATGCTGCACTGGCTGCACTGGAAAGGCCTCTCCCCGGTGTGAATGAGCACATGTCTGCGCAAGTGGTAGGAGCTCCTGAAGGCAGCGCTGCAGTGTTCGCAGACGTGAGGTTTCTGACTTGGGGACGCGATGGCACCTTCCGCATCTCCCACCAGGGGGGGTTTGGATGAAGCGCTCGGCTTCCGCTTGGCTTTGATTCCCTGAGTTTCTGGCTTTGGCCTCTTTGCCTTCTTGACCTGGGTATCGTGCTTTGGCTCACCCGAGCTCCCAGGGGCGCCCTCGCCTCTGCCACTCAGTAACAGGTCTCGGTGGGGATGCTGGTGCAGGTGGTGCAGGAGGCTGAGGTCCTGAATCACGCTCTGGCCGCTCCCTTCCCCGCTGCCCCCCAGCCCGGGGGGCCTCTCGTCCCCCGCCGCCCCGAAGAGCCCCCCGTAGTGGTGGTGCTGCTGCTGCGGCTGCTGCTGCTGCTGCTGCTCGTCCTCCTCCTGCTCGCTGGGCTTCTCCTGCTTGATGCTCACCAGGGACTGCAGGAAGCCCCAGGGGCTCCTCTGCGCCGCGGGGGCGGGCGCGGAGGGGAAAGCCCCCGCCGGCTCCTTCTTGAACGCCCCGTCCTGGGGGGCGGCGGCCGGCGCCGGGGGGGGCTCGGGGGCGGAGGGGGCGGCGGGCGGCAGCACGCACTGCGGGGGGGGCGCGGCCGCACGGGTGAAGCTGGTGACCGGGGGCAGGCGGTGGTTGAACATCACCATGCCGGGGGGGAAGGCGGGCTCCATGGCGGCCGCCGCCCTCTTGCCTCCTCCTCCTCCTCCTCCGAGGAAGCCGCCGCCGAGTTTCATCCCCCGCCCAGGCGGCCCTTGGGGGGAAGGGGGGGGGGGGGAGGCGCGGCCCTGAGGGGGCTGCGGGACCCGCCGCCCGCCCGCCGCCCGCCGCCGCTCAGCGCCCGGCTCCCGCCGCGGCCCGGCAGCCGCCCCGCGGGCCCATGGCCGCCGCTCGGCGCCCGGCTCCCGGCTCCCGGCCCCCGGCCCGGGCCGCACTTACGGCTCCCGCCGCCGCCTCCGCTCAGCGCCGCCGCCGCGGCCGCTCCACAATGGGATGAGCAGCGCCCGGCCCCGCGCCGCACATGCGCGCCGCGCGGCACGCTGGGAACGGGCCCCGCGCCCACAGCGCGCAGGCGCCCAGCGCCCCGCCGGGCCCCGCCTGACGGGGCCGCTCCGGCCGCTGCCACCGGGCCGCTGCGGGTGCGCGTCCGCAAATAGCTCATTGCTGAGACAGAAATGGGATGGAAAATCCCTGTTCTGAAGCAGCTTCGGGTGTTGGACAATCATCAGGAGATGCTTTTCGCTTTCAGCATCTCTCTAAGGGGCCGTGCCCCCTTCAGTGCTAATAAAATCCGAATAAAATTCCGTTACACTTACAGCTATCGACTTCGAAAGCCTATATGTCTATATGTCTACATTTCTATATGTCTACATTTCTATATGTCTATATCTATATATTTCTATAGGGGTTATTACTGAATTCCAAATCCTTATTAAAATATAAACTGCAGAGGTACCTTAAAAACGTGGAATTAAACACATTAACACTTCCTTTACCTTAAGCATAAACGTATAAACAAATAAACATATAAACGTATAAATAAATAATTGGATGTAATAGAAGACACCAGATAAATACCTTAAGATATAAGATAAAACACCTATACTTTCTCCTCCTTCAAATATACTTCCCTTAAGAGTTCAGCCTGTAAAGATGAGGTACGTTCCATAGATCTCTCCAACTGTTACAAAGCCTTAGGTCAGATTTTGAAATCTTAAAATTACCTAATTAATATTTAAAAATAAATTGATGCAATTTCTACACCCAACAAAATTTTGAAGGCATGTAAGTAAAACAAGTTCCTTTTAATTTATAAATAGTTTACTTGAAATAGCACGCAGACTGACAGTTCACTTTAAAATGCAAATTAAATTATGAAAGTTTAGGACCGCCAGGTTTATCTAAGTGTTAAAAGGCAGACCAGAAATTCAAAAAACTTAAAGCAGCAGTAAAATATTAGTCAATGCCTATGAGAAATGAGTCTGTCCCTTTATTCAGGGTGTCTGTGTTTAATGGTAAGCTGGGATGCATATAAGCTAGTCCAAGCATGAAGGGCAGTAGGACACTCATATGGAAAGCCAACTTTGTCCCTCAGTTATCAAGATAAGAAACCTGTCATTTCTCTCATTCACTCTGTCAGCCTTGAGATACTCCAAGCAGACTTACCTCTGTGTTGTACACCCCATATATCAGGAAGATGAAGAGACCCTGTAAAATAAAATGGAGGGAAAAAGCTGTTAACTCTAATCATTTCAGCAGTAGAAATACCTGAAATAAACTTTCCTGGGAACAGACAAAAGAAGACACACTTCATCAAGGTCAATTTATTTTTCTATTTTTCAACATTATAAGCTGTACCTTGAGCATTTATTTGATAACGTGGGAGTACATCACCTACGATGTTTGTGGTATTCAACTGTTTGGCAATGAAAAACTCGGCACACCAAGGGATCTAAAACACTAATTAGAAAAATTAATTTTAGGTTTGAATGATCTTCTGAACAAAACCACAAAATACATTAAAAATATGAAAACAGATGCTACTGCGAATGAAGAAGGAGCAAACATCTCTACTTCTCTTCATTATTTTTTTTTTGTTTTGTTCTGTTGTATTGTGTTGTGTTTTTTTTTTTTTTTTCAATTGAAACCAGGAAAAAATTTATATTACCAGATTCTATACTAAAAAGATACGTATATACACACATACATGTATATGGACAAATATACACACTCCATTTCACAATTTTATAAGTCTAAGTAGGAAGAAAGCAAGAGATGCATGAGGGCAGAAAGAAGATTTAATGCAAACAAGCAAATAGTATAGATGAATAAAAAGAAAAAAAAAAAAAAAAGCTTTCTTGATATTGCACTAGAATAGCACAACACTAGCTAAAAACAACTAAGATATTCCCATTGATGAGTTTTCTCTGAACCTTTTCCCCTTATTGAAACATCTTTTTCTAGGACCTAAGTTAACACTAACACATTACCAATTCTTGCAGTCTGCAGTCAGGATACTGAAAAATGTGGGCAAATTACTAGGAAGAAAAGCATAGCAATTTGAAATAAAATGTAAAACAAAAATTTCCTTAGGAAAGACATTTGTAACACAGATTCACTCAGTGCTTATAACCATTTTTTTAAATTCATTTGTAAAATGACCCTTTCTTGTAATACTAATAATTACTAATGCTGGTAATTACTAATAAATACATGTCCATGTATCCATAAAAAAAATTGAAATTGAGTGTGTTTTTTTGTTTGTTTGTTTGCTTGTTTGTTTTTTTTACAGGAACATACACTTAAGTAACAAAAAAAATCAAATTTTTTTATCCAACATGCAAATTACCTGAAGACAGCTGGATTAATTCTGGAGTTGTCCACCAGCAAAATCACTATTTTATTAGACAGGGAGCAATAACAGTTATCATTCATATGTAATGTTTCCCTGGAAAGGGAAGGTGTAAAGCCCTTGGGAAATAATAACAATAATAATAATTTTTTTTCATTTCTTTTGTTAAAAATAAATTTAAAAACAAAATCCAACACCTTCTTTCAGTTATTTGCAGATACTATCAGTGAACTCAACAAGATATAAAAAATAGATTCAGAGAATATAACCGGAATCCAGAAACACTGCAACTCAGACCAGTAAATTTCTCATAAGCATAATTGCTTGTAGAATAAAGTCCCACATCTCTCTTTAAATTTATTGTTAGCAGACCATTCTGACTCCTTTCATAATATTGTCCAAAGTCTGCATTTAGACTATGAAAAAACAGACTGGAAACTTTCTCTAAAGTTACAGTTAAATAAAATTAGTTTTATCAGAGATAAAAGTAAATATTGAGGTTATAGGAAGAAAGATAAGCACGTCATAAAAAAACATCGAAGGTAGGCTACTGGCAGCTGATTAATCAGTTTAGTCAACATATAGCAGTGCAAGCAGCACCACAGTTTTTTTGTGTTTTTTTTTTTTAACTGACTATTCTGAAAAAAATCAGTAAGCAAAATGATTTACTACAAAGCTTTTGAGGACTCATTAAGTTTTTGATACTACTGAAAGCTGTCAGTGACAACTTTTAACATTAATGGTAACAGTATAAGCATAAACAGTGAAAAAAATACAAAAGTTATTTTAGCTTTATTATTTATGAATCTGATTGCAACCTACTATATATATTAAAAAAAAAAAAAAAAAAGAGGAGGCGGATAAAGCGTACACCTTTAGTTCCGCCTTATCTCCGTTGTCAGGTTCCTAGGATTTTAGGGACTTCCCTGCTGGGCAACAGGCCAGAACAGGTAGAGGCAGGGAGTCACAGAATCACAGAATTGTCTAGGTTGGCAGAGACCTCAAGATCATCGAGTCCAACCTCTGACCTAACACTAACAAGTCCTCCGCTAGACCATACCACTAAGTTCAACATCTAATGATCAGATACAGATGAGGACACAGAGAATGATCAGCTGTTCCTAAAAAATGAAACAGAACAAACTGAAATATTTTTATAGATTATTATATATATATACTTATATATGTGTATATGTACGTACATATGTTTATACACACACACATATAAATTATTTCTCAGGCTACTCTGAATAGTTAGCAAAATCATACAGTGCCTGTTACGCAGAGATACTTCCAAGAGTGAAAATGTCTTGCCAAAACTGTCAATTAAGACAACTGTCAATTAAAATTAAAAATTATTCATGCTTTCTGGCACACTGGAACACTTTCTTTTTCACTAGCAAATGTGGAAATGCACAGATATTGTTTTAATCACTTTTTATGCTCTTCTGAAGTCTATTAATTTCATATAATCACAGGTGAAAAACGAGTTAGCTACTTAGGTTTGGATATACAGTAATCTTACAAAAACTTCAGAAACAAGTTATTAAGGTTCCCATATCTTAAATTGGCATGCCAAGTTTTTAGTTTTATTGAGCTTGATAACAGCTCATATAAATATTTAACTGTTGGAGATATGAAGTGCTGTGGGCATGCTTATCTTAAACCTTCACATAGACTTCTGGGAATAATTTTTTTTGGTTTGTTTTCGGAGGGAAGTTTCTCTCTCTCTCTCTCTCTCTCTGTTTTTGTTGTTGTTGTTTGTTGTTGTTTTGTTTTGTTTTGTTTTCTTGTTTTTTTTTTGTTTGTTTGTTTGTTTTGTTTTTGTTTTGGAGGGGGCGGGGGGGGGCTTGGGAGGGGGAGGAGACACTTGAACATCAACAAATTACTTTAATCCAGTCAGCCTAACAAAGATTTTACTTATTGCTGTAGTAAGTTATGAGATATTAGCACCCACAAACGATAATGAGGGGTAGTTTTCCACAAAACACCGACATCCAAAATTACCAGTACAGGATTGTTTGTGGTTAGCCTGAGACCAAAATAAAGAGGTAAAGATCCTCAGGTGCTTTGAAATGTTAAAAATTATATGGTCTTACATAATTGATAGTTCAGCTTCTTTAGCTCATTAGTTGAAAACAAATGAGAGTTTCTCTGTTCTTCATCAGACTGTGGTGTTACCCACATTGTGGTTCTGTAAGCGGCTGCCTCAACTCTTCAGTTGCTCAGGCTTGTCAGTTCTTTGCACCTGGGAATTAAGTTGTGTTGTGATCAGGCCAATAATAAAAAGTTCTGGATAAAATTACATCGGCTGGGATTAAAAACAAATCCTTCATTAAGAAGTACAGCAGCCTTTTTTTGTGTCTGTGCACGCGTGCCAATCGCATGTACAAACACCCAGAGTAAATGTAACTGCATTGGGCTAGGTAGTGTATAAACACAGAGTAAAGCAGCCCATGCCTTGAAAAGGTTAAATTCTAGATGGAAAAAAAAGCAAGCTATGTGTAGAGAGAGAGGGAAAAAAAATAGAACACAACAGCACAATTGTCATTTTTCAAATCTACCAAGAACAAATCCTACTTTTCAGTGAGACATCAACTAGCAGCTAAAAACCTTCAGCTGAGCTACAAACCTGCTTTTTGGAGACTGGAAGAACAGAACCTCTGCACACTTAATTACAGTTGTATTTGCAACTCTCTGCAGGGCATAAATTGATTGCTCAGCTTTTAAATTTGGCAGGTCTTAATAGAATTATCCTTGCTATCTTGAATAAATCAGTCTGTGGACAGTTCGCATCTTTAGCAAGTTTGTCAGGATCTGTTCCAATTTGGGCGGTACTACTGAAAGTTGATGCTCTTATCAGAAGCACATTCTACTTTACGGCAACACAAGTCTTCAAAGCAGTTTTTTTTTAATCAGTCCATCCCCCGTCTTTCTTCCATAACCTCCCCGCCAATTTTAACATTTGTCTTTAAATCTGTCACTATTTGACATTTCCTAAAAGCTTTCTTTTATAGACAGCATATTTCATTCAACATCATATAAGTTACAATTATTTTTGGTATAGTGGGGAATGTTACACCAGTACTTTTAATATTTCCCTTTTGAACAGTTTTCAACACACTTATCTTCAAGAAAGATACTTAACCCTTCTCCTGTTAATTTTTTGAACATTTGTTCTTTTGTTTGATATAACTAAAAAGATTTTCAAGAGCTCTGAACTACTAAAATTCAGACAAGTACTTTGTCAGGTCAATTAAATAAAATCATATTAACAAATTATGCATGTAAAAACTGTATAGAATTAAAATTATATATATAAAAAAAAAAAAACATTCTTAGTAAATAGCTAATACCAACAATATTTTAAATCATTCCTCTACTATGAATTTAAAACTGCCCTTCACTGAAAAAAAAAAAAAAAAAAAAAAGTTAATTGCAAGAAATTTTCTGCTGTATAGGAAGACAGACAGAAAGAGATTATACATAGCTGTACTGAACTAATTCTGCTTATTTTTAATTAATAAAAAGTTACTGTATTGTGGCAATGGAAACTGCAGAGCACTACAAGTAGTGCTCACTTCACTCACACAAGCAGCCTCTGTAATCCTAAAAGAATTAAAAATTGTCTTGGCAATGATAGATTAGGGTTTACTGTTTTAAATCTGAACCAGCGCTGTAATCTGGAAGCCTCAGAAAAACTTTGTCCATACAACATCAGTGTTAACACACATGACACCCAGCCCCAAAGTTACATTTTGTTTCTAGAATAGATGAAAAAGTTCCTTTAGGGTGTTATCAATCTTTATTTCTACAGTTAACAAGTTTGACATTTGAAACAGTACCACTTTGGAGTTTCTAAATCCATGTCCCACAGGCACTGTCCTGCTTCTGCAGTCACCACGGAAATCCTGGCAAACAGGAAGAGATAGCATGACTGATTCAGATTTTCTGCCTCTAAAAACTACAAGTTTAAAAATGAAAAATGAAGCAAAAGGTTTCTGGTGCTAAAAACTAATAACTCCCCAGAACTGGTAATAGTAATAATAATAACAAGAGTAACAATAATAAAGTCATAGCAAAGGCTCTGGAGCAAACAAGCATCCTACTCTGTCAAAAATTCTTTGGTATGATCTTGGAGATGAATTCCTCTCTACCTCAGCTGTGTGTAGAACAGGATGCTGTTTCCTTAGTTCAGAGCCATATTAGGAAGGAACTTTCATTAGTGTCAGATGAAGTAGAGATGAGTAGGCAGAGAATCACTCTGCTTCCGCACCAAGAATTCCCGCAAGAAATGTAGCATACATTTTTTTAAGGGTTTGTTTCGTACTTACTACAGATGGATGATCTACTATCATAATGTGCAAAACTTAATGAAAAAAAATCATATTTAGATGCGATGCTATAGCACCTATCCTCAAAAACATGTGCTAAGGAGCCACATAGGAAATAACAGATGAAACTGTATAATACATGCAGTAGAATATCTGAACTAGGACATCAAAAGAGCAGCTCATATTGTCCACAGCTTTAAGCAAATTAACATTTCGTATTGCTTTCTGCTACCCTGAAGTTTGTCTCAGATAAAAGTCAGCAATAACTTCTCCACACAAAGGTAATTTTAGAATGATAGGAAAATTTCATGTAAGTTTTTATATGGCAGGTGTAGCAAATTTGCGACTTCACTTAAGTATATCATCTGACTTGTGTTTTTTTTTAAACCACCCTACCAAAATCCTGTTGGAGAACCTGGATAATCCTGCACTGATCTACTTTTTCTGAGGTTATTGGTGTCCTTTTTTTCCACCTGTCTGTCCAGATGACTATTTGACTTTTACTGTAATTCTATGAGCAGTTAGATTACATGTTTTTTTGGTTTTTTTTTAAGTGAACTTTATTATGCAAAAAGAAAAAGATCCCTTCCCCTGTCAGCAAGTCTTTTGAGTGACTTGTGTCTCTCTTCAGTTACATCTTACAAATAAAGATATTGTTTTGTAGCATACTGTTTGCATGTAAAGCCAAAGCATGAAGCCATATTGAATTTGAATTAAAATTAGTTAAAATACCTATCAAAAATCTAGAGATAAATACAGTGATTCCAGTCACCAAGAGAGTGACTGTTAGGCTTTTGTCCAGTTTTTCAGGCATCTGCTGTTCACTCAGACACAGTGTTCAAACACAGCTAACGCCTACTCAGAGCTTGGTCTTGCTATTCCATTGCTTAATTCCCCTGCAGACAAGAAGTGTCCTTCTACACAGCACTGTACTTGGAATACCAGCAGTTGGAAAAGAGCTGCAAATTTCATTCTACCTGCTTACATTGAGCAGCTTATAACTTCTTCCAGCTGCCATCTGTTCCTCGTGACAGTCATCAGCTCAGAGATACCTCTTCTGTTTTTAAACTATGCTTTCTCACCTTACAAGAATTTTTCCAAGTACTTGTACTGAGCTATGGAAATGCAGGGCAATACTTTATATTTCACCCAAAGAATTAATTCATGATATTTAAAACAATAACATCAAGCTAAAAAATTTGTATTGCAAAATTTTTAAACGACTCTCTCATTTTACAGGTTAATTTGCTCCATCCAAAGTAAGTTCCCATACATAATAAGTGTGAAATCTAATTGTGGTGAGTCATGTGGTGCAAAGTACATTGATTCATACCACATCAAGCAAAAATCTGCATTCCCTATGTTTACTAGCATCCCACAACAGTTAGCCAACTTAGTCAAGATCATTCACAGGCATTATTACATTATTGCTAAAGGTAAGTACAGGAGGAAAAAGGTTCTGTCTTTTGGGAAATTAAACAGTTATTAAAAGGCAGATTATACTATAAGAATCTCTGTAAGATCTCTACAATACAGCTAGAATACAATCAAAGTATAATCCCAGTGTTTCTGATATATACAAGGTTATATTTCCAAGCATTTCTCCACCTTATACTCACAAACAAGTACACGTATTGCAAAAGACCCCAAGGCTGTAGCACATGCTGGAAAGTACTTGAAACTGCCCTATCTTTTGACATTTAGTAATTCAAATATTAAGGTTAGAGTTTCTCTGAACATGCAGACCCTGGAAAATCTTCAGTGAAGTGCAGTGAATGTAATGTTCACTTTTCTAAATTTCTTTTCTTGAACTCATTAGAAATAATAGTCAGAACCCACAAACCTATGGCCAATGGCTGAAAAACACCTATTTGTCATCCATAGCCCCAAGCCGGGATTTTTCCACAGATTTGAAAACATTTAGAACAGCTCCTCATACTACATCCTAAGCATTCTTATTTTAATATATATATATATAAAAGTGCAATAAGTACTTACACCTAATGGTTGAGTGTGTTGGATTTTATTTTATTCATTATTTTTTAGCTATAACTCTGGGCAGAACTTTCACAGCTTAAAATATTTAGAAGATACAATAGTACACTTACATTTTCACACATTCTAAATGCAGTTATCCATCCTAGATTTCACTAGTAGCCTAAAAAAATAACTCCTAAGAGTTTTCTATCTAAATTGTCTCCAGTCAGATGGATTCATGATAGACTCTGTTTCCTATAGAGCTAATCTCCTTACTAGGAGTTTTGCCACGTCCTCTTTACTTTTTATGTCAGATCAACTCTGTTTGTATTAGATGTAGAGATATGGGTAACATGGTACCTGAGGCCTCATTCCAAATACATCTGTGCCTTTCACTTTAGGTTCCTAATGCTGCCCTCTGTATTAGCTGAATCCCTTTTGGGCTTTCACAGGAGAGTTCTGCTGAAGTGAGGAAAAGGACTCTTGGTACAAAGCAGTAAAGGTTTTGCTACCAAATCCCTCCAGAATGAACAGAAAACTGCATAAAGACAAGACAGCCTGGAGTGCTGTCTCTGGAGCTACTCCAGCACTCTCCTTTAAGTAAATCCTTTTCTAGAATAATACTCAACTTTAATATTAAAGACATTGCAGATGTCCTTAGACATCTTAGTTGTACTGATTATAAAATAAATTACAGAGTGAGTTAGATTCCAAGTGCTACTGCTGATCTGGAAATCTCTGCTGGGCCCATGATAATACATTGTTTCATTCAAGGCCATACATTTTCTCATTTATATTATGTTTACCAATACAAACTTACAAATATACTACAAATCCTTAGCAGGATGAGCAATTACCCAGAAATAGTTGTGGTTTGTTGTTTCTTTTTTTTTTTTTCCTGATGCTTTTTGTCTTACAATTCTTCCTACTAAGGTAAGATCTGGTTTTCACATGGAAAAAAAAAATAGTGGCAAATATTAGTGTTGTAACTTCAAATTTATACTTTCAAAATGATAATTCAGATGCAAAAAGAAAAGGCCAGATGTTTCCAAATTTTATTCCAGGTGTCAAATACAGTGTTTTGAGAAAGAAACTTAGAAATTTATACTAAGTCTTAAAAAGTTAAATGTGAAAATAGTTTCCAAAGGTCATGCTTACATTCTCTTGATTGTTCCATAGCAAATATGTTCAGTTTACAGTTTGAGTTCTTTCATGAGCCAGCACTGCCATGATTGTGAAAGCTGAGATGGATTCTGATTGCTCATGCATAATCAAGTTATCTCAGCTATTTAGATTTACAATGCATGTTGGGTTGCAAAAATGCCTTTGAAATTTTGCTTTCAATCATGTGTTGTTGCAGTTATAGTACAGACAAACCACTGTGCTTACATGCTTTGAAGGAATCTTCATAATTTTCTTGCATACTATTCAAGGAAGTCTTAATCTGCTGAGCTGAAGATGGTAGTTGACCTTTAGAAAAAAACAATAAGTATAAAATAGTATCTCAAGTATATTTAATAAAGAGAACATACAGAACTTGTCCACTTGTCCTTACAAAAAAAAAAAAAAAGCCCATTTAACAGTAGCGCTGAATGAAAAAGTGATTTTTTCAATCACTGTCTGAAGATAGGCACTGAAACTAATTGCGACTTTAGGATTGCCCCCGAAGGCCTATGTTATCTGTTTTTATGGCACAACCAACAAAACCACTTACTAATGGGGAAAGAATGGGGGAAAATAAATTTTTAAATCTGATTTGATTTCTTGTTGGAATTTTTGAGTCATTGTAAAAGTATATTTTAAAATGGTGGATTTTAAAAGGTTGAGCATATTAAAACAAATTTACACCCCAAAACAACTCACATTTTCACTATGCCTTGAGAAAACCATTCTGAAAATTCTGGTGCTAGTTCATGTATTTCTGTTGAACAAGTTTATATTTCTGCCCAATTCTAAATAATTCATAATTCAGCCAAGAAAATTTAAAATGACAAGGAAAAAAAAAAAAAAAGGTCTATTTCCACATTAGCTTGCAAATGGGACAAAGTGCTCGAGCATCATATTTTAAGAAAAACAGTCATTTAAGTTCTATGTTACTAAGAATCTTCTCACTTCCATTTGCACTGCCTCCTTCAGCTGTTGTTATCTTTCATCAGCAGCCATCCTCGTGTTCTATTTAATATTGAAGGAGCACTATCAAATTGTTTTGGAGAACTAAAAGAAAAAAAAAGAAAAAGAAAAAAGAGGCTCAACCACCACAGATACACACAGATCAGAGTATATTTTCCTCAGAGTATGTTTTCTTTGTGCCAATTTTCTTAGTTGGAGTCCTTTCTACTTTTTTTTTTTCCTCCTCTCCTTCTCCTCCATATTTTCAGTGCTTTTTTCATCATTGATACTATTATTGACCATCAACAACCATCATGGAACATTTTTGTGCCCACCATCCCACTTTTCTCATAGTGTTGTCCTTATGTATGTGGATAGCACGAAAGGGGAAGCAGCCATTCCATGAAACACAAAGCCACCCAGGGGCAATGTTATCAGTAAGAGTCAAACAAGAAGAGGAGCAGAAAAGTGTGAAGTCAGAGTCAGTATCAGGCTGCTCGGACAAGTGCAATAAAAATAGATCAGAAAAGATGGGCTAAATGCCAGAGATGTAGTCCCAAGGCTAGACAGCACAAAAAATCTTAAAGATAACTATGAAGAGAAACAATTCTGCAGCTTCCAGGAGATCACGAATAGGATATCTGTACAAGCAAGGAATTAATTGAATGCACATTGCATTAAATCCTCCTTTCAAAACAGAGGCAATCACCTGCAGTTCAATCCATTTTTAATCTATCCAGAAGAAAATGCACTTTAAAAGTACAGTGAGAGTTAGAATATCACGTAATGGCTAAAAACAAAAAAAGAGTTCGATGCAGAGTGATTTAAACCGAATCTTTGTTGACCACTCAAAGCACTGAAAGAGCCTATAGGAGAGCAAGGATGAAAAGCAAGGATGAAAATAGATACAGAAACGAACATTGTTTTCTCCTGTTGTCTTCCTTTTACTATATTTTACTATATATCTATATATTTGCATATTACCAAAAATGTTTATAGATCCAGTAGCCATTTTCATCAGACTGTGCATTGCCCAATTAATAATTTACTTGAGCTAGCTACAAGAGCAGATTAGTAGCAATTGAAGTTCTTTCCTGTTGAAAAACTCTTATGTCACAGGGTCAGTAAACACAGAAAGAAGCCAAAGAGTCTCCTAAGGCCTGAGAGAACTAAATTAATTTTAGGGAAAACAGGGTTTTAGTAGGAACACAATTGTTTGTTTGTTTGTTTAAGGTAGTCTTATAAGAAAAATCAAATCAACAGCATTGCTTTTACATCTGATGTAATACTTGGAAACACCCAACTAGTCTGGAGAACTCCAAGATATAAACACTGAATGGAAGAGGAGGTTTCATATTCCGCATCTAAGAGCGAATAAGAGATGTTGTTTTGTTGTTATGGTTTTGCTTTTTTGTTTGTTTGTTTTGTTTTATATCTCCTCCAAATATTTTAGATTTTTCTTCCAGAAAGTATTTTTCACCATGATTAGATTGGGTAGATTGCATGAAATTTTAATTTTAAGAGATGTATTCTAACAGCAATAAGCCATGCCAAGGCGTGCATTACTAGACTTATTGGCAAGTCTTTCCAGTGATTGATAGCGCTTGGTCTTTAGCCTGATTCGTTGCAATGAACTCAGGACATGCACTAATAGCCTACAAACATACATCTTTCTGGGGCTTATTACTACTACATGTTATTCAAACCAGCACAACGTGGCTTTCTAAGTATTCCCCTAGATTTAGAGAGTACTGAAAAACAAAGATTTTGTGTAGAGTTAAAAGAGCACAGTGTGTTTCGGGTCTTGGAAAAAACATCATTTTCAGTTCAAAGAGACAATACATTCGAAGTTCCAATCAGCACTTAATTTTGTGAATGCAACTTCAGGTACCATGCTGGGATTCCATTCCAAAAGCTGATGATAAACACACAACTGGTGGAAGTTGGTCCTACAGTGAATCTAAAAAAGGATCGTATGAAAGATTTTTTAATAAAAAAAGCACAATAAAGAAACAATTCTATGTCACTTATCACAAGAAATACATTGAGGTTTCAGTGCCTGAAGAACATGGACCGACTCTACTATATTTACAAGCTACATTTACTGTCTCAGTCTACAAAGCACAGTAATTCTAACAAAAAGCTGCCTGAAATTATGAGAGCATAATTACTGGCCTATAGAAACTCATTCATCAGTATCTACAAATTCCTGTACGCTGTATGCATCATCTTCATATTTTCGAAAATGTTCTTTCACTACTGCAATGGATTGATGTGTTACCTTGCGTGTGTATGCACAATATGCAACACTAATTGTATTCATGACATGGAACATTTTCTTTGGCTGATGGACTGAAAACAAGAACCCTGACTTACATGATTACTCAGTTAAAAAATAATTTTGATGTTTAGCTCATTATGGAGCATGTTTAAGAGCTGCAGTGCATCCATTCTGGAACTTCAGTGTTCCTATAGAATCCTATGTGATTTGTTTATGATGTGGTGATGATTGACTGTCAGTTACTAATAAATGGTAAATAAAAAAGTAACCTGTGATATTAAAGTACTACATTAGCTACATTGTGATTAAATTACAGTAACACCGCCAGCTATAAACCTTTATAGAATCTCCTCAGCCATGCAGTAATTCTCCTAACTATACTATTATGTAGAGCACAAATATTTCTTTGTAAGTCCAAAGCAATACATCAGGGAAGCATTTACTGCTAAAGCTAGATTGAGAGTAAATGCATCTTGGGTTGCTATGAATAAAGCTCTAGCTTCTCATTACTTTATGACAAGACACAGAAATTCACTTTACTTTTCATTTAAGCTTTTCTGCTCCAGTTTATAGATGTATGCCTTCACGCTTTTATTCCCTTCTCGCTTCAGCCGTACGTAATAAATGATTATAAATTTTCACATTTGACCACCTCTCTGCTAGTCTCATGCTTAATGCACAAAGTTGGGAAGCTGCAGGTAAAAATTTCACAAACACTTTTATTTATGATGTTGTCCTTGGTAACGGAAATTTCAATGTACTGAAATGAAAAGTATGATTAAAGGGATACGACGTCCTGACAAGGATAGTAGAGGGCAGCCTTCTATTTCCCACTGAAAATATATAATACTTTTCTGACATCAATTTCATAGAGAATAGACATGGGCTAGTCATGAAAAAAGACACAAACACGTTTTTAACTTCAGTGTTGTGCTGTCTGAAATGAAACTTATTCCAGAAATATCTTGCCCAAGTAACAGCTTTTAATTTTGAGTCAGACAGAGCTAATTTTGTGTAAACAAAAAACATGTCACTGTGCAATTAAAAAAGAAAAACTGTCTTAATGTTTTTTCTGCAAATTTTTTAAAAATACAAAACACCTCTCCACCTCTTAAGAGAGATACTCTCTTCTCATTTCCTCTTGTCACTTTCCCTATCACTTTACTACTACAATAAGATTTATTGCTTGGAGATTTTGTCAGTTTCTGGATCTAAATTCATTTTAGCTAACTTGTATTGTCCTACAGAGCCAAAGAGTTGTGAAGCATTTTAGTAGTGCCCTAATAACAACTGGTTTGTTTTAGCTTCTCTTTATTAAACTGGAAAAAGATATATATCTATACGGCATTAGCAGTTTTGATCCTGTTCATGCACAGAGGTGAAGGGAAATGAAATCACATTAGGTTTATGTTACTAAAAATTAACTTATTTTGGCATGTGATATCACCAATTAAAATAACTTTTTAACTTTAAAACAAATATAAATAGCCACTAAGCACCTGCTAGCACTTACCATACAGACAAATATTTTATTCACTTTCCAATACAAATATCAAACATAGCTTTGAAATTTCATGTTTATGAAAATAACAATTGAACAACACCTACATTCCAGAGAACTAGAAATCAAATGGTGTTTAAATATATTAAGAAAAAAGGATTCAAGGAGAAGTAAAAAAAAAAAAAAAAAAAAAACAAACAAACAAAAAAAAAAACACTTCTATATTAAGGCTTTTTAGAAGTTAAAAAAAAAAAACACTATGTAGACGAACTGGATAGTTCAGGACTTCTCTACATGAAACACTGAACTTTTCACCCCTAAATGACTGTTTCCAATCCTGCTTGGATTGGTACAGACTAAAACTTGCTTCTATACATTGGATGTTCAACAATATATACAAAGCTCTTAGTTTATATTCACTGACAGATGGGTCTGTGTACACTTCACACTGAACATTTTCTGTAACTAGCATTAACAGGCATAGTTAGCAGAGAAATAGCAATGACCAAAATATTATTCTAATCCTGTGGATTCCATACGTTACTGCCCGTGCAGGGCAGTTATACCTTTTCTTTAAGGGTACAAATGATTTGAAGAAAAAAAATCCAGAATGTGATATCAGTACTAAAAAGTTACGCTTATTAAATTCTTAAGGCATTGTATGAAGACAGTAGTTGAGGATTTAGCATTTGCTATTTTTTTCCTCCTTCCCCTCTTTAAAAGTGGGTAAGCAGCATTCTGTTACAGATACCCAATCATTACATTATTAAGCAAAATATCTCATAGACGTACACAACATTTTTCAGTCTGGACTCCTAACAGCATCATACCTTCTTCACTAACAGGAGCTGCAAATATTTTGTGACACATCCCATTTGTTTGCTAGCTATCACAGAACCCCGAAAAATACATTATGTCCTCTGTCAGTTATTAAAAAAAAAAATCAAGCATAATGAAGATCAAGCATAATGAAAACAAAATTACCAGCAATTATCATTTGAATTTCTATCTTAATCTATTTCAGATTGAAAGTTACTCCGAGGTTTTACACCTTGATATTTTTTCCTATCTTACCACCCAATTACAAGCTACTGTGGTCATTTAAATGATTCCTTGTATAATCGTTGCCATTATAATACCAGCAATCTACATTACTGAGTATCCTGCATAGTATCCTTACTGAAGCACACTTGATTCTAAACGCATTTTAATATTTGCAGTTTGAAACCTGACAAAAACCCCTTAGAGTAGACATATGGTATCAATTATGCCAAATAAAGCATACAGGTTAGAAGTACCACAGCAGAGATCACACTTTCTTTT